AAGGAAATTTTCAAATAAAAAGAGTCTTGATATTGTTCGTACTTGTTTATTGTTTAAATGTGTCTTGTGTTGTTTTATTTGAATTTGAATCACTGGTAATTTGCAGATGTAATTTTATTTGTTCAGTTGAAAAGCGATTTTAGTACATTTGATTTTTTTCAAGTTATAGAAAGATGCTTTTGATTATAATGTAGGTAAATAACAACTAAAACTTAAGTGGTTTTAACCATATGTTAACGAGAATTAGGAAATGTGCACGTACTTGGTAAATGGCAAAGAAATATCAAACAATAAACATGTGTAATATATCGAAATACAAAACCAATGATATATTTAAAATTACATTGCAAAAATGTAATATTATGGTATTCTTAAAATGACATCGATCACACAAAAGTAATGTTATAATGTAATTAAAATTAAAACGCAAAAATGTAATATTATAATATACTTCCAATGACATCGATCACACAAATGTAATGTTATAATGTAAGTAAAAATAAAACACAAGAATGTAATATCATAATATACTAAATATATATACTAAATGGCAAAGAAATATCAAACAAAAAACCTGTGTAATATATCGAAATACAAAACCAATGATATATTTAAAATAACATTGCAAAAATGTAATATTATGGTATTCTTAAAATGACATCGATCACACAAATGTAATGTTATAATGTAATAAAAATTACAACGCAAAAAAGTAATGTTATGATATATTAAATGTACATCACAAAAATGTAATGTTTTGATATGATCAAAACAATTCAATGTGTTATGATGTAATTCAAATTACAACGCAAAAATGAAATGTTATGATGTACTCTTAATTACATCACAAAAATGTAATTTATGATGTATTAAAAATTACAAAGGAAAAAAATTGTAATATTAAGATATACATGTACTTAAAAATTACTCTCAAAACATGTAATGGTATGATAAACATGGCATAATGTAATGTCACAATAGTAATATATGTTTTTAAGGGATTGTTTGAATGTTCAGCATCTTTTGGATTGTAAGGATCCGTATAAAGCGTGTATTTTGAGTCTGTTTAGTTAATGTCATTTTCTACAATGACAAACCATAACCGAAAAAGAAAGAATACAAAGACTGAAATAAAATAGGTAAATAAAGAGAAAAGTTAGATCGGTATAATTACATTTTGATTTTCTTCAAAAGAAATTTTACACGATAATTAAATGTTTTAAAAGTCGAAAATAAATCCTGTGGTTGACCTGTCCTAATGTTCACATATAGTGTAAATATGCACATCTGGATCAGCGAACCTTCACATCCATTTTTGCCGATGCTCAATTTTGAGATCCATGCGGGTTAAACTTTAACAATCACATTTTTTTCTTAAACAATATTTGATATCAACTTCATCTTGTAACAAACCGTATTCTTTTCGTCATTATTTTGCTTCTGTCATGGCTTTGATTTTTCCGTTTAAATTTCTTAATTCGTGTGATACGTAAATATCAAAATTATTCATCTTATGATGATGAAAGCATGTGACAAGAATTGTGGATGTAACAATCAGCACAATGTGTCCCTTAAACCATTTATGTGATTTAAAAGTGTCATGCTCAGAAATAAATGTGTCACTGCTCAAAGATTCTTTTCCAAATTAACAAACGAGAGGATTGAAAAATAAATAGTTGGTTAATTGATTCTTATCTTTTGCCTTTACGTGCTTTCCTGATCTTAGTTCTATTTCTGAAAGACTGGTGTTGCACGTTTTACTATTTTCTTTAATTTAGTACCAATCAAGATTTAATTTATAACTAATCAAGATTTCATATAGTACCGATAAAAATTTAATTAAGTACCAATGAAGATTCACTTTGGTACCAACCAAGATATAATTAAAAATTTTAGTATTGATCAAGATTTAATTTAGTACCAATCAAGATTTTATTTAGTACCAATCAAGATTTAATTTAGTACCAATCAAGATTTTATTTACTATTTGTGTTCATATCATCATGATATGATATATTTAAAACTGATACAAATTTTAGAAAATTCAACACTTTTGAACCAATGAAATCGCTAGAATTTGTTACAAGCATTTCAATATTTAACTATGAAGAATTTTATTTAATATAAGTTTGGAAATTTGCCCATACTACTGCAGATTCTTGAAATAGTTTATCCAGTTTAAATGTAGGCTGTGATAAAAACCCTAAAGAACGTGCAAGACGGCAAAAATAAATGTTCAACACTCGGTTTGATTGAGTTTGTTCATAGATGGGCCTTTGAAAGTACAAACTGTCCATATACATGTACATGTCCAAGCCATCTATCATCGGTCCGAACCAGATTGTTGTTTTGTCTGTGCAATTATTCCGAAAATACTTTCTTAAGTCCATTGCTGCCGATTTTTTTCACAATGGCTTTCGATAAATTATTGTATACAGATTGTAAAAAAATGTGTCAAAATTCATCGTTCAATACATGCGGCTATATAATTATTGCGCTAAGGAGGTTTTTAATCAATTTGGCTGCAATTTACATAAACCCGAATATTGTACTTATCACAGGAAAATAAGGTTCTAGATTCTTCCTTTAAAGCAGCATACCTAATTGTCAAAGGAAATTTCAAAACTGAATTTTTAAGTCAAATTTGTGAAGTAAACAAAGAAATAATTTGCACATGGAAATCTGCACCTACAATCCATGAAAATAACCAAAAGGATATAAAGATGCAATAATAGCTCTTACTACGTTAGTCACGCACTAGAAATATGGTGTAAGGTGATACTGCAAAATCAGTCAGTTAAGCATATAAAATGTTTATTATTACTTGAATATAAGTTCCTTAAAAGTTTAATATAGTTTTCTCAAGTTTGATTTTCTTGAAACATGTTGGCTCATCTGTAGGCGTGCAGGTTAAGGAACTTTAGTCGCTATATACTAGTATACATAGCATATAAATGAAAACACTCCAATGATTATAAATCACTTAAATTGTGAAACTTCTAACTTAACTTTAATGGTGATTATGATGTTATTTACGTAATTTCTTCCTTGAACTATTTTTGTTGTTTTATTTATGACAAAAGTCATGCGATCGAAACAGATATTTCAATTATATACTTCCCTGTCGATCGGCTTAATGTTTGCCGCTGTATTTCAAAATGTAGCCTAGTTTATAGTACAATCATCTAAAACATGAGAAGATAATTTTAGTCCTACGGAAAACTTCATTTATAACGAACATAGTTATAGCGAGTTTCCAGTAATTGCTTAGTTTGGTTTTCATCAGAACAGATTAAAAAATGGCCGAATCTAATTTGCTGTTATTTCATTTAAACTATAAAATTAACTTTGCATAAATATATATTTCTTAAAAATATCTTTAGCATGATTTGTTGTCAATGGTCATATGTATTCCATATTCCATATTGTATATCTTGTCGTTACTTAATTTGCTCGATGAAAGAGATTCATGATAACAACTTTATATTTCTTGAGAAAAAAGTAAATAATACGCTTGATAAAAATAAAGATATATATATGTACCATGTACATATTTTACTTTCATATGGCATCGTGTGAATCATTGAAATAGTGTCATAATGAGATCTTGGTCTGGAAAATTATTCCACTCGTTCACTTTGTGAGACAAGTAATCCAAGTATGGATATTATGCCAGTTACATCATTATGGATCACACATGCAATTACGGTTGGATTCTATATTTGTATCTGTTGAAGATAAAATATCAAACTTTTATATAATTATGTAACTATATTATCTAGTATTTCCCTTAGAAAGCTTGGATATTTTGTTGTCTGTTCAATAATGATACATTTATTCTTGTGTTGCCTAAAAACAAAAATAAATGTTTCCTTCCATTGTATAATAATTTTAAAAAAAATTTGAAACAAAACGATTTATTTAATACATCTGGGACTTAAGATAACACGGCGTTTATCGATCGATCGATTTCAATTGGACACCAACATTGGCACTGATATGAAAGCGCGAGTTGCTTGTCCCGTTATCTTAAGTCCCAGACTACATCAAATTCTAGAATTTCTTTGCTGTTATTAAATCGGTTTATTAAAAGAGTATCTTTATGTGGATTTTGTATTTCGCGAGATAGGATTTTTAAAAGGTAACGATTTCTCGATACGAGTGTAACGCTAACATTTACGTAATAGAAAGAGCATCAAAACACGAATCTATCTAATTTGTACGAGGGGGCGTAGCCCCCGTGTATCAATCAGAATGTCGAGTGTTTTGATGTTCTTTCTCTTTTGTATCATAGTCAAACATAAAGAAACATTCCCTGTTGCCCTAGAACAAAAGTAACCAATAAACGAGCATCTGAATATGATAATTATATCGCTTTTCCTTTCTCTGCGGTCCCAATACGTTAACCCCTGCAAAAAATAAGCCAATCAATGGGCGTGCTCTGGAGTGCGGGTAACTAATACCTGCACTCCAGTTAACGCACTGTGCATGTATATGTATACGATTTAACTCTGATACATTTTCAACAGAAAGGTTCCCAAACTACGATACAAACTATGTTTGTATAACGCAAACGACCTCCTGTCAAAATATAAGCACGGCCATGCAATAGCATTTTTACGATGTCGTAAAAGCGGCATGGGTATGTGATCAATTTTATTATTCTTTTCAACTTAGGACTGCATTCATTCTTTGCTTTGCTTTGAATGACTTTGACGGTTAAGGCCAAATATGAAATTTATATAATTTTATTTGCTCGTTTTCGTTTGGAGTAGTCTATATTTAAATAATTTTCCTCCGATGTCTTTTACATTATAAGAAAAAATGTCGAGTGTTGCCCCCGATTTGCTATGGCTCTTGTTTGTAATTTATTTCATTCGTTGAAAATGCAGATCTAATAAAAGTAAATAATGTCCTGCGCGAAATTAACCAATCCGCTTTGACTTACATAAACTATTTAAAGCGTCTTCACTGAAAAGTGGTTAAAATTACATAACCAGTTTACTTAAGGCAGTTATTTTTTTATACAAACGGGGAGTTTATTGGCTTTAACATGACATTTTTGTGCTAGCTATTATATTCATTCTGGCATTATATAAATGTTGTTTTGTTTTCAATATGTGAAATTATTCATCCACTCAACAAAGGAACACTTTATGCGTAAACAGATAATGTGTCGTTTAGAATGACGATAGAGGTAAGTTTTGTACAAATACCATAAACTTAGCCACTAGGTTATATTGATGTGTCGTTTATTTAATATCCATGTCATTTGTATGCACTGTAACACCGCACTTTGGGGGTCAAACGCACTTTGGGGTCGGACCCAAAAGTGCGGTAAACTTCACAGTGCACTTTGGGGTCAAACGCACTTTGGGGGCAAAATCGAGAAATTGACCCCAAAGTGCGTTAATATGCTATATATCAACGCAGTTTGGGTTCCATATAATCTAAGTTCTCCTTGAACATCGAGTACTGACTGATTTTTGATCTGCGACATTGAAGTTCAAGATGACAGTCGATATCCATATACATCACTGTGCAAATTTACCAAGAGTCATTACATTCTGATGTAGCATAAAGTAAAAAGGAATGGTTTGATTTCTAATTGGTTAATGCTTTATTAATTGAACTACTTTGAATATCAATATACATGTAAAATTAAGACCACCATCGGGACTGGACCCACAATTGTCGTAATTGCGGGATGGTCTTATTCGTGGGTAATCTTATCATTGATTACATAGTTTTTGACCATGGTCTATTTTAGTCATTTTGTATGAACAAACAATATGTATTTTAACCTACAAATACAATATATGTTATAATGTTTAATCAGATGAGAGCAAAACATTTTCTGGAAAAATTAAATATTAAATTCTTACGGGTCTGATCTCAATATTAATTATTATATATTATGTACATAGTTCACCTATCAAAAAATAAATTATTTCTTCGCAAAATAAATATAATGAAAGCAACAATGAACTCCAATAACTCTAAATTTTACTTTCACACCCTATTTCATACAATAACCTGATAATAACAGTTTTTTACACATCATTAAATCAAGTGTTATGCCTACGAGCATATTACATTTGCGGCTAAAAATGAGGAACGGGGATTGAGGATCGAGGACAAGTTATATAAAGGGATAATCTCAAAATAATCTAACATTTTATAATAAACACAGTTTCTAAGTAACGAATAACACCAGCATTGTCAACGATAATTTGTGATTGTATTACGTGATATTGTTTTTGTCCTGAATAAAATTATTCCTGAGGCTCTACCCCATCAATAGCCCTGACCCCCATATATACTCGCAAAATTTTGTAAAACAATTTATATCCTCTACATGATATTGACCATGATCACCATCAGTTAATGCATTACAGTAAATTTTGGATTGAGTTTCGCGTGTGTTAGGATCAAATCAAGTTATTTTATGAAAGTAACTGCTGCTTTAAATGATTTTTTATACTTTATTGTATATACTTTGATATGTCTGCAACGACTAACTTTTAATTTGTGGTCATTTTGGATCCCGTCCTGAGACTAAAAGAAATAAATGATAGGAGTAAAATTTAATGTAATATTAATTTACAACAAGAGAAGTTTATACTCGGAATCAATGAAAACTTGCAGGTTATTTTGGGTTATTTCAGGTTTTGCAAAACGTATCAGTTTCATGTACCACCAAAACCGTTGCCATTTTGAATGAGACGAGATAACTTTCGTATTTTTTAAATATAATTAATACATGTTTGAAAATAATCTCGGCCATAACCGGACGTGCATTTCATCTAAATATACAATTAAGATCTTGTTGAGTATGATGTATTCTTTTAATTTTGCATCTAACTTGGAATCAATCTTCATGTTTCATTTTCCCCCAGTTGTGGCAGATTGACACAGCCTGAAATCTGTTTGAGTCATTGAAATAACTATAATTAATTATTTGAAAAACGTTACCTTCTTTAATAAGATAACATGAAATAAGGTAAATTCAGATTTTAATAGGTCTCATTATTATATAAGGAACTGGTTTTCAATTATATGGAAAAGTGTGTTACAAGTATCGGCACACAACGCTAGTTCATGGATAAGGCTTAAATAATATGCTATCTAATGTATTATAACACATAATACACACCAAGAATTTATATACCTTAAATTAACTATGCTATAAGAGAAATAATTGAAAATAAAACATAATTTTATAAATTGCAAATTGCAACCTTATGATATAACAAATCTAAATAATCTATATCTGCCTTTTTGAACCGACTTAATACATTTCGCCTACTTCCCTCTTTATTTTTAGTTTACAAATGATATAAACTACATGATATTTTAATTCAAAATATTAAACTTCATTTATATTGATCTTATTTTTAATACCCAACGTGCGATCGTTGGGTTGATGTTTAAAAATGCATATATACCTGCGTAATGCACTTTTGGGTCGAAGGTTGACACTTAAGATACTTGACACTAACGAGATGATTGGGTGGCGGGGCACGATTCTTATGCCCGTTTATAAGGGGGTTTGCGCACAAATAACTATTCGGGGGCCGGGAGTAACTAAAATCGTGCCCCACGGGGTACTTTTTGCCGTTCCACAAGTTATAATTTGGGGAACGAGAAAAAAGGGTTTTGGTGCGCATAAGTTTACTAGCCCTTTGCGCACAAATTTATTTTGTAAAAGCCGCAAAAATTTTATGTTTTGCGACTAGGGGACAAATGTGGCCAGGGGGCTTCTTAGCCCATGTGCAGAGAAAATTTAAATCGTGGGCACAAATTTACAATGTAAATCGAACAAATATTAAATCATGGGGGCACAAGATGTTTAAAAAAACAAAAAATAATCAAATTTAATATGAACTTAAAACTTCCGGGTTTAAGATAAAAAATGAAACTTTAAATTTCTTTAAAACTATAAAACATTCTTTTTTTGTTGGACATCTTTTAAGGTTTCTTATCTGGAAATCCCTATCCAACGGCCCATAAATGATATTTTTAATTTTTTACTATTTTAGTCCCTTTGTAGGACAATCCTCTGATAGGGATGTCATTATAATCATACTGATGGCCTGGTTAAACCTTTGCTTATAAAACGATAACTTGAAGGAAAAAAGCCCTTGTTTATTACATTTAGTAGGAACATTGCCAATGGCCAGAGATTTGCTTACATTGAGATTGAGGTCATAGGCAAAGGTCAAAGTAACCCATGACACTTCATGAAAAATTTTCGTCGGAGAATAACTTGGGTATATAATCCATTGGGTTTGATTACCTTGTATGTATCACTTTCACCTATTAATAAATGACCCTTATTTATGAGGGCATTGGGTAAAAAAAATCAGTGTCACAATGACACTAGGTGAAACATTAATTGTCAAATCAATTAACTTTTTATATATGACACTGTGACAGGCAAAGGAAATAGGGTCAGCATTGTATTATTGCACATTTGTAGGTAACTAAGAAAATGCAAAGATATTGTGTAATCTGTTTGATTTATTATATCGTTTCTACATATTGCCTCGTGCCCACGACTTAATTATCTCGTGCGCAAGACTTAGCAAATCGTGGCCACGACATAATATCTCGTGCGCGCAACTTAACTATCTCGTTCCACGACTTTGTTACTCGTGCCCACGACATAGTATCTCGAGCATACGACTTGGTAACTCGTGGCCACGACATAGTATATCGTGCGCCACTCGATTATTTCGTTCCCACGGCTTAGTAACTCGTGGCTACAACATAGTATCTTGTTCGCATGACTAAGTAATTCGTGGCCACGGCATAGTATCTAGTGCGCACCACTTATTACCTCGTTCCCATGACTTATTTACTCGTGGCCACGATATAGTATTTCGTGCGCACTTCCTAATTATTTCATGCGCACGACTAATTACCTCGTTGCCATGACAAAGTATCTCGTGCACACGAGATAAATAAAAACGCACAAATGTCAACTCTTTTTTACCGTAAAAGTACGTTGTGTATAACTGAACGTTCTTCTTAGGAATTGGACCAAATGCTTTTCATTGCAATCTTATCCTGTGACGTATTATAATTAGTTACAATAACATACATCATATATTTTGTTTTTCCATTTAAGTCAAGAATATATTCTATTCTGTTGCTGAAACATCCTCTCTAACATCCCGTGTAAGACAATTTGTGTGCCCGAACTGACCTTATTCCACCGCGGATTTTATGAATTAATTGCGTTTTAGAATGATGTCATTGTTCCGTTATAGATAACGATGTAAGTTCATGCGCTTTTATAAGAAAAGGTACTAACAAAAATATGAAGTTTTCATAATTTCTTTTCGGAAAATAGAAAACATGTCTATAATTATGCAAGATAATGAACCAAGCACCGGGTATCGTCAAAGGTCTTTGATGTTTAGAGGAAACTTTAGCACAGTCTTTCTGCCGCTGTAAACAGATACCCACGAGCTATATATTAAGGTCCGTACCGACAGACATAGTAAAATCCTTTTAACATGATAAACTGTGTGTACAAATGAACCAGATTTGAGAACTGAAGCTAAATTATAGTATTAGAAAAGTAGCTCAATTGATAATCATTTTAATCATCAAAAAACCAAGGTCCATACACGAAACTCAATATCCGAGGTCAATTTCAAGACTTAAGATAGAACACGCACAGGGCGTAGAGAATAAAAGCTTTTGGTTATTATACAAAACGTCTACCTAACTAAACTAACACCGAGGAATAACCATTTTAGTCCAGATAACTTTTGCTGAGTACCAAAAGTCAGTATTACGAGAAGTTATTATTACATTTCGTTATCACGACAATTTTAGTCCCGAAGACTTCAAAAAAAAAAAAAAACGAGAGTCGACTGTACATTATATACATTCAAACTCTAGTTTTGAGAAAAGGATATTCAAATGTGCCATCAGAGGCTTATCTATGTAAAAAAACGGTGTTAAACACTGATGACAATCATTTTATTAAATGCATTTGTAGCAGTCCACAACATTATAATAGCTCAGAACTGTAAAGTTTTAAGCCATGTAGTTCTACACAATACTCTCATATGTGTCAGTCTATATCTTTATGAAAACTAGGTAATGTTAAACATCAAATATTTAAGCTTTGTTATTTTTGAGGAGGACATTCATTAATATTAATTTCCTTTTGCTTGCCAT